TCGGAACGTTCATTCGAACACTTGAATTCCACATTGCTTTAACAATCGGTAAAATTCGAAAGTTTTCAAGTTTTCGAAAGTTTTCAGGTTTACAATATTTATATGTTTTATTCAATTTGCATTTTGTCTTTTGAGGTAGAATCGCCAACCTTCCTCTAAGAGTAGAGCAAACAAGGGGAGATCTTGACTTTCAAATGCTCTCAAACACCAAAGAATATAAACTAACGTACAGCAATAGACGAGAGAATGCACATTTTACCTAGGGTTAACTCTCACATTCAAAACCTGACGACTTTTCCTGAGTTCAATTGAACTCCTGTGCACCTACTTTAACTAAAGACATGTTTACAAACATAGCGGAATTTTAGATGAAAGCGTTCTTTATGTGTTCTGTGTAGTGATACCCACATCGTAAAATATATCACGTACTTGGATTGACATTATTTGGAGTGTGTATATAGACTTGATGGTTGCACGGGTATTAAAGCTATAAAATTATTTTTATTTCTTTAGTTTTTTATTCGCCGTGATCATTAATCTCTTTGTTTCCAAATAAAAAGGCAGGTCTCGAAAAACTCAAGTCATCGGGTTCGGCGTTTGAATTAACATTCTGCAGCCATTTTGTAACCGGTCCCTCTTTATCCAAACGCCTGGTGGATATTGGAGGCAATGGAGAACATCAATAGTCATTGTTTTAATTCCTAGTTCTTGTCGAAATATGTTGAGCCTGTTTTTATCTAATTTACATTAACTTACCAAGCCTAATATTTTAAATTCTTTCACAATATCAAACGATTTAATTCTTTATGAATTAAAACAGAACGCGCGTCAATTTTTCACAAATGCCAGTCGCTAATGTAAAGTGTCGTTATCCATCAACATGCCAAAATCTCTTTTTGCTAGTGTCACAAACTCGGAGATCCAACAAAGGGTTAACTTAGACGTCCCTCGGGGTAGCATGGTTCAGCTGGTATCTCTGTGTTTCACCCTCTCAGGCGGAAAAGGTTGTTACAAATATGAATAGCGGATAAATTGCTGAACAATAAACGGGTATAAACTTCAACTATATTGGGAATTATTTGAATAGAAAACGCCGCAATCCCACTCGAATGGAAATAGATACCAAAATATACAACACAATGGCGTGTTCGTATCATGACTCTGCATAGAGTTGTGGTGTTTGCTATGATATTATATACCTCAGCACCTTATGTGACCACAATCGAGTGATCGAATTTAACATGATCATTTAAAGACAAATATTTTCTTTCGACTTTGTCAAATATTATCGTGATAGAATTCAAAGTATCTTAACATCATTAGACGCCTGATATTAATTAGCTTATTGTCTTAATGAGAACTTAATGATCGGGGCATTTTTGTTGACGTTTTTTACATTTCATAAATGGACATCAGTAAGCTACATCAGTATATTGGCAATCAGGGGTCGACCATTATATTTAGATACCAGAAAATTTGCGCTAGGCAAAATAAAAAAAAACAAAATGCGCGATATACGAGGGTTGATCCAAAAGTTTGGACACCGTTTTATCTAAAAAAATATTTTTTGGTGGATTTTGTTCATACTTGGTCAGGAGCAACATCTATATGATAGCTTGGTATTGTATTAATATCATTTAAAAAATATAATGTTAACTATGTCATTTGGTTACCATAGTAACAGGACAATGAGGTGTCCCCTGATTATGATCTAGATGGTACACCCCTGCTGATAACGACACGCCCGCATATGCGTCTGGAGCTCGTGAGATAACCGCTCTAGCCGACTACCTCTGGGACGCTAATGACTCCAAAGATGACAGATGAATATTGCAATATGAACACTTTACATTGACTGACCATATTAAACGCTATCTATCATTTTGATTGCCTTTGTCATGATTTGATAGCTTCGTGTGAACTGGTTTATATGAATAACTAGTGTTGGTTGATATATCCTTGAACTGAATGAAAAATATATCTAGTTTCTTCCATTTTGATTATATTGTTTCAGTTCACGTTATCAGGGAAAATAATATTTAGATATAAAAAAAGATGCGGTACTTAAATCTGGGAACCAACAAGTGGGCCCAAATTTTGACATTTTGAGGCCCATTTTCTTCAAAATCTGGCCTGAAATTAGAAGATAAGGCCTTAAAAATGGGCGTCACCCATGCACCCAATCATTCCCATTCTGATTTATCAGAGCCCCTCTTTAACTAATGCTTGAGAGAGAGATTCCAAATGGATAGTGAAGGCTGCGGATCCCACGATGCATGATAACAGAACAGAACATATTTTATCACTGACCGCATTTCCTTTACGGACCATATCTTATTGAAATTGCTATGCAGGCCCGTAGCCAGGGGGGGGGGGGGGTCGCAGGGTTCGGGCAACCCCCCCCCCCCTGACCAAAAATTCTTTCACAACCTTGCAGTTTTTCACCAATTTGAGCACTTCTCAAGTGATTTTAACCATATTTGGGCCAAATGTGTCAAATGTGAACCCCCCTGGAAATTTTTGAAAACTGAACCCCCCTTGGCAAATCCTGGCTACGGGCCTGCACGATGCATGATAACAGAACAGAACATATTTTATCACTGACCGCATTCCCTTTACGGGCGATATCCGATCTCGATCCATCAATGGACCGACCCATTCTGATACTCATCACATCTTTCTGTCTCCAACCTTACGGTGTACTAGGACTAAATACTAGTGTGAAGCTAGCTAATAGAAGGCCATTCTCATATCCTCATATCATGGAGCCGACCCATCAATGTGTTTGCGTATGGCCGAAGGAATTCTGATTTAGCAATATGACAGTGTACAGAACATCACATACAAACAGTAGTTATTTACAAGTCAAGATGCCATTTGAACGTCTTTTAAAATGAGTCATTACGACAATCACTTTACTGATCAAATGAGTCTTGCGGAACGATTTTCAGATATTCGGGCACTTCAGTTCTTCATTTGAATTTTACAACACCATGACTCACGATGATGGAAGAAACACGTAACAAGAAAGTCTTGCATCACGCCCCTGTAAACCTCCGTCCTCTCATAAACATACCTCACAAAGTTGACAAAGGGAGCCAAAGGTCTTGACTCGAGGCTAACTTACCGAAAGAATTTGAATTTAAAAATCTATGGAATTTTGAATGGGAGTGGAGGAGAACTAGTGCCATATCTAATTACTGTACTTTGCAGAGAAAATTAGTAGACGAGAAGCAAGACTTGCATTTCGTATACAATGCACTATCGGTCTATCCCGCCTACTTCGGGTTATCTTAATTAACACTGGGTATCAGTGGCTGATGAGTGTAGAAAATTAAAGTATCAATCTCTGGTTCAGTCTGGCTGATCAATCCAATACTGTAACAGACTTGGTCCCTTACAGAACGTTTAGGCCCGCAGCGCAGAAGGGTGGACTGATGCAAGGGTGAACGTAATCCAGATGTGCTGGGTATCTAGAGGCCGTTTATGTACTCACTTTTTGTACCTAACTGTCTTCAATCCTTTCTTTGAAATTCCGCCCCGGTGGCATCTTAATTCACAAGGTTTCAGTTGCTCAACTTCAACTCACAGCAAGTTACTAACTTGTGTTATAAACAATTTTGAATTCGAAGTTTGCCCGATGCTGGGAGAGAATTGTCAATGTTGAGTTATGTCCGACGCGATTAACGAATAAGGGAAAATAGTGCATTATAGCCATCTCTTTGACCGATTGGGTTGTACTTTAGATATGATAGAGGCTCGACATAGTAGATTTGCAAAAGGAAATGTAGCCCCTTCTCTCTTCTTTTTTACTCAGGCTATGTAAGAGGGATGGAGACGGGGATGGAGGGGAGTGGGTATAGTTTGATGCAAAAAGTATCATACCAGCATTACGTGCCTCAATCATTTTTTATACTTGTTGGTTAATTTGATCCATCTCCCTGTTCTCTTGTAAAGAAACGAAAACATGATTCAAAGATTAGAGTTAACGTTCACAGTGTATATGAGATTCATAGGAATTGGACTTTTCATGATGAAACTCACGCTGGAAGAAGGCGAGTATGTGATATACCCGCGAGGTAGTATTTCACGTTGCCCTCAGAAGCTGTATTGGATTAACCCGCAGACGTTGTGCCCTGTTAGTGATACGTTAGATACATCAGCATCCGCACTCATCATTCATCACTATTTCTCCATCAGTATCACTTAACATGTATACATCATTTACATGGTAACCTCATCAATGTAGGAGTTGAAAGGAGAAATGGGGATCGGTACAGTGTATGTGTACATGTGGGGGTCTGAAATATTGTAAAGCTCGTGTAATTGGGGGAAGGGGGGGGGGGGGAGATCGTATATTCTAGGGGAACTTTCACGTTTGTAAATAGGAATAAAGATTCTACATTTTTCATTACACTTAATAGAATTGGATTACTGTTTAGAATGAGTAATATATCCCCTCCCCACTTAAAGAGCACTATGTATACATTTCTCCAATAATGGAAAATAAAGATGTCAAGTGATGCTGTCTCGGCAAGAATTTCTTAAAAAGGAATGATCACCCATATTGATATTTATATTAAAGAGTGTTAAGAATAACCAATTACAAATATTGAATTTCTAAATATAGGAATCCTTCAGAGAGAGAGAGAGTACCTCATCAGGTTTTTGAAAGGTGCATAAATTCTTTGTATAAAGGGTTAACGCTTCTTATGATGTGGTATGTCTTCCTACAAGTACCACTTATCAACAGATTTTTGGGTAATGGCAAACTAACCTACTAAGCTTAACTCATTCATAATCATGTAATTGTATTTATGAAGTAGATGTGTACACAAAATACAAAACAAAAACATAATATTTTTTGAAATACCAATCATATTTTTAATATACAAAGATAAAGTTCAATAATTTACATATACAAATAAACAAGTTCAATATATTCCATCAATGGCAAGTGATGTATTTTGGTAAGCCTAAGGCCAAGAATTATAATTTCTGTTTCTTGTCAAATGTTCATAAAGATAATGATTGCATAATTTAGACCTATATATGCTACTTTGGGCACCTAGAGGCAAAGGTCCTATGATCATATGTCCTGGTTGATTTTGGCCTACGGTTAAATGAATAATACATACAACATTTAAAAGACACTTTAACAAACTGACATATGCCTTTCATGTTAGTTCAAATCATAAAAAGACAATTTGGCAAATTGTTGAGTAGTCTATATATAAATAGTTAAAGTAGGATTTCTTTGTGGACTATTCAACATGGCCATATTTCTAATAAAATAGTAAAAAACAACTTTTTTAAATACCGCTTAGAGTTCAACCATTTACTGTATAAATCATTGTAATGTTATGGTGTAATGTGATATTCTAGGTGTGATTGCTTTAACATTATAGGTGATTGTTCTTATCATTCTATGTGATTGTTCTTAATCCCTGCAATGTGACTTAAAGTATGAATGACACCCAGACCAACCCTGATGAGACACATAAGTATGTTGCAAGCACTGGGACAAACCAGCTGAGTATAAATCAGGCCTAGGTATCTAGTGTACCCCTGAGTATGTGTTAAGAAAAGTGGATATCACCCCCTTGAAATTTTTGAATGTACTCATGGCCAGGACAAAATTTGAGATGATTTTGCTATTGGAAATTTTACAAGAAAAATGACCTGAACTCTAAGCATTATTTAATTCTGAACACAAATAGATACAAATCTGTTTCCATGGCAACTGCAGAAAATATTAATGTTTCCATATTAACAGAATCTTTTCAGATCATACTCTAGAACCAGCCATTTTTATGCCGCGATTGTCACCTTTTAATCGCACAACAGTATTTTGAGTACCACTAGGACCAGCTGGTTGATAAGCTGGTACATTAGATTTTCTCCTGCGGAATCTGCTGGTACAAAAGTTCTTCCATGATTGAACAGTTTTTGCGGACCATATCCACATCCCCGATGTAATTCCAACAACAAGTGACATAAATATTTTCAACATATATACCTCGACTGTAGGTATTGATTGTTCTAAGTCACAATCTAGCATTGTTCGTCTGGGCTGGGGACCATAGTCAAAGTTTTGTTTAAGCTTACATGGTTTTAACTTCGCCATCATGTTCCATTGTTTCATGTTAAGTTGTTCATAGAATAGACAGCCTATTACACATGTTGCAGGAACCGTATATAATACTGAGAATATGCCAATTTTGGCCATAAGTTTCTCAAGTTTTCTTAGATCAGTATTTCCATCTTGTACTGAATGTTTGATATTGCTGCGGATGCGAAATAACGCTACAAATCCTGCGAGGATAAAAAAAGTTCCAATGATGAGATAGAAGAAAAGGGGGGCAAGCACAAACGATATTAATGCTACACGATCTTGATTGCCAACATAACATAATCCAGTTAGCTCGTCTCCATCGACGCGTCGCATAATCAATATCACCATTGTCTTTATAGCGGGGATGGCCCATGCAGCCATGTGGAAATAACTGCTTAATGCCTCAATAGATTCTTGAGCCCATTTTCTCCCCGCAGAGAGAAACCATGTTAGTGTTAGGACGACCCACCAGAGGGAGCTGGCCATCCCAAAATAATATTGAATGAGGAAAATGATGATGCACCAAGTGTTCTCCAGTCCTTCTTGGATAAGGAACAGAGAGTTATCCCTAGCTTTGTCACAGCTAATCGTGCTAGCACCAGTGATAAATCGGATCATATACGACAATGAATAAATGAAGTAGCACATACTGAGGAAGATGATTGGTCGTTCAGGGTAACGGAATCGGGTGGTATCAATTAAAAATGTCACCACAGTTATCGAAGTTGATAAGCAACACAGTGCTGACCACACAATCATCCATATTTCCGCAAAGCGTTTATCATGTTTACGGAAGTATACATCCACGTTGCATCTTGGGACACATGTGTCATTTTTACTTGCAACTTCCACTGCGATAAATCTGTGAGGGCAAATAACCTGAGGGTCCTCCTTGCCATCTTTCGTTTTGGGAGTTGTTGATGCAGAAGTTGCGCCACTTCCACGTCCTTTTAAAGCTTCCATAAGAGTCCACCAATCAGAGTTGGCGGGATCGATGCCAGCAGGTGGCAGCGCAACTGGTTCATCCTCGTCCGTGTTTAAATCGGGCGCCTGCATACACAGTTCTTTATTGTCATTTTTCTCTGGTAAGCGATTACAATCCAACATACTAGGCCAGCGGAAATTAAAGCGTAAAAGTACAGGTTCACATTTTTCCTTCACTTCCAAACACATTGATCTACAAGCGGGTATAATTAATATCTCATCGACCTGTGTGGTACACATAGGGGCATAAAGCGAACATAGGAAAAACTTCAAATGTCTACTGCAGGCAAACTGGACAAGTGGACTGAATTCTGCAACTTGTATTGCAGCATCCTTTTGATTTGTGTGTCCAATAAGATTTGGCATACTTGTCATGTTATATTTGATATCAGCATCCATACACATTGGAATTGTGATCCTCTCACATTTTCCCTTATTTCTGTCAGTTAATCCATTTGCAATAATCCCAGGGATAAAAATCCCCAAAAGCAAACCGATCGTCCTCATCTTACTAAAGGTACTAAAGGTACACAGTATAATACACTTTTATCCGCAAATACCTAAAGAAAACTTCTGTTCAAAACTGTTTGCACTTCCACTCTACTCAACATGAAACTTTTATCTGAAGTAAATGGAAGCCGCTTTACTTCAATAACATTACGCCGTATCACTCCGCTAATCGCGTAAACCAGTAATTGGATTTCTATAAACTTCAAAGTAATCCAATGAAACTTAAGCAAACATTGATTTTGACTTCTATACCTATAATCTTAGTAGATTATAAGTTATTATATGGAAATAAAAATAAAAGACCGAGGATTACTTTTTTGCTGGTCACTTCGCTGATACAGAGGCCTTTTATATGTACTGTATAGATGAACGTTTGAACTACCCGAAAGTCATCAATACCTGTCATTCATGCTATGTGCTCTGTAATACAAGCGCATTGCCGTTTCAATAAAACTCCGCCCCTTTCATAGTAATGCTGTACTTTCCATCCCAACTGAAATTTGTATAAAAAGAATCAGATATCGGATATTTATAATGTAAAAATGGAACATCTACGAACCCGTCCACAATAAGGACCTACATGTATAAAGTCTCTTTAAGTTAATCACAAGTAAATGGATTATATTGGGGATTATGCCATATGGCTCCGTCTAATTAGAAAATTGGGGCAACTATTTATGCTATCTATAATTTGCGCGGGTGTTTGTCTGGTCGTGAAAAGTCATTAAAATTGCACCAGCATTCGGTCGCGTCTTTATACCACTCATCAATCATCTAAATGACAATATTGCCCATTTTATTGTCCATTTTGTAGATTCAAATAAAAAATCGTAGATTGGTCAAACATTTTATCTCCCAGTGAAATTCATTTGACAAAGCGTGTTTTCAGGATTTCATCCTCAAGGTTTTCTTCATTCTGAAAAAGATCCCAAATTCTAGTTAACCAATCTAATTTTAATTATGAACAGACATTCATACACCTCTCATATTTTTCATTTAGATCTAATAAAGACTTAAATTATATAATTCGGAATGACGTAAACTTACTAATAATGAAGCATAGCCAACTACTGAGTCTGGGAATAAAGTGTTAAAATGAAGTTATTTTATGATAACCTAAATCATTCGTAACGTAAATCATTCGTCCATCTTGTCGTCCTTATTCATGTGCAAGTATTTGCAAAAGTAATTAATAATTCTCTTCGGAGATATATATAAAAACAGCTACAAGACACCTTTAAACAGTTGATAACGTATCGCCGGGTCTTAGAACTCAAAAGTCATCTACAGTCCTGTTAATGAAGATTTAATTATTTAAAAGGTAAAACGTAAACACGTGCGGTATTTATGGAAACGTAATCATATTCATAACCGTTAGTCTAGGTGCTAAAATGTCATTCGGACAAAATTACAAACAACATGACCAATTAAATTACCAAAGACTATTTACCATCTCATATGAGATACTAAAATTGCAATATGTCCAGACAATGGGATCAGTGGTCTTATCAAATGGCGACGAAGTTACTTCAGAATGAACTAGACTACAAGCTAGATTCTCCCAAATAATAAATGGGAATATCCGCATTTTGCATTTATAGAAAAATCAAAAAAATCATTATTTCAGAAATGCATGTGAAAGAAATGATAAAAGCACAAAACAATAATTTGCAAATGTTGCTCCCTAATCTGATTATGTGTGAATCAAATATTTGACAATTAGTTATGGTATGAGGTTCCATATCCATCCGCCAAAAGGTATGACCCCTATATAGTCCATTTAAAAACTCGTGGTATTGTTCTAAATAACGCCATAGTTGGCTTCTAGGGTACCTAATATGCCACTATTTGGTATCAAAATAAAGAGGAGGAGTTCAACTTTCATTTGAATTACGAAAATAGCGATGTAGGTCAAAAATAGTTCCGACGTGAGCATGCTTACTACGCGTTTGCCCATCATATCAGAATTGAGGAAGTGGTAGCAAACGCGAGTCACAATAAATGGACGCTGATATCTCAAAAAGTAACCTGACTCCCTATATTTTGATGTAGATCAATCGAACCCCTATATGAACAGGTACATTTTGATATATAACACTATGGGGGGTAAGCGTTTTATAGTTGGTCACGAACGCCATATGTGCAAAGTATTGTTATGAATTTTCGAATTTGGTGTTGGATTACGGTACTCATACCTTAATATGAGGCCTAAAATTGTCTGCTAGTTGGCCAGAGACCAATATTCTAGCAGAATTTGAGAACAGAATCGATTTTTTCGTTCTGCGTAGGGCAAACAATGATTTGAAATCACTTTCAACCATTCTGTGAGTATAAGAATGGTCATAAGAGGCCCGTGGAGGGTCTTGAATGAAAGAAAGCCCTCTGAAATTCCGTCAAAATTGCAGGTTATTTCTTCATTTTTTGCTAAAATTACATGATTTTCAGGGCCCATATCTCAGTGAAATTGCTACAATGTAGCGACTTTTCATTTTTACAGGCTAGATACACGTGTCAGGTCGACAGAAACAGTAAGCATGTGTGATTTTTAAATTGCTACATTGTAGCAATATTTATTTCAAAATACAGGTGTGAGGGAAACTGCAATTTAGTTAGATTTGGGCGAAAATGGCCAAATTTCAGTCAAAATCCTCGGGACACAGGGCCTTTGTCTTAGATTTAGTCAATGATGCAACTCTTAGTAGAAGGTGTGCCATATAGGGAATGAAAGCTGTTTGTCAGACGTATCATTTTCTTCAATAAACTCAGAGATAGTCAGGTTAGATTTGTGACGTCACAGTGGCAAAGTTAGACTAGCATATTTAGACGTATTTGGGGTAGGGCAAATTAACCCTTTCTAGCCTAAATGGATAAATTTTTCACATATTCAGCCATTTCCGACGTTTTTATGCATTTTTGAACTAGAAATTATATTTTCTGCCAAAAAAAGTTGCAGAGACAAAAATCAGTGTGATGTCATAACACATTAAGGTATGAGGTTCCATATCCATCCGCCAAAAGGTATGACCCCTATATAGTCCATTTAAAAACTCGTGGTATTGTTCTAAATAACGCCATAGTTGGCTTCTAGGGTACCTAATATGCCACTATTTGGTATCAAAATAAAGAGGAGGAGTTCAACTTTCATTTGAATTACGAAAATAGCGATGTAGGTCAAAAATAGTTCCGACGTGAGCATGCTTACTACGCGTTTGCCCATCATATCAGAATTGAGGAAGTGGTAGCAAACGCGAGTCACAATAAATGGACGCTGATATCTCAAAAAGTAACCTGACTCCCTATATTTTGATGTAGATCAATCGAACCCCTATATGAACAGGTACATTTTGATATATAACACTATGGGGGGTAAGCGTTTTATAGTTGGTCACGAACGCCATATGTGCAAAGTATTGTTATGAATTTTCGAATTTGGTGTTGGATTACGGTACTCATACCTTATATTCGGCCTCCGTACTTCATTTGCCGAACTGTGAAAATTGATTGATTTCTATTGGTCTAAAGTTACATGACGTCATTTCCTTCTGTTGACCTGCATTGGGATCGATAGATTCATGTGTACCTGAATTTACCTGGATTTTACGTTGTTTTTAGACAAATATGGACATTTAAAGTACATTTTAAAAGCAAAAGTATTGCAGACTAACGTTTGTTTCAACGATCGCACAAAGGATATAGCTAGTATTTACAATTTTAAAGCATAGTCTAAAATTTTAAAATTGTTGTCGCAGAGAAAATTCAAAAAAATGGTGGCAGGTGTGCAAAAAGAACAACAAAGTGAATTTGAAAATTAGTTCAACTGCAATTTCGAAGATTTAGTAACTGGTAAGCATATTTTAATCTTAATAACTTTTCAGCTCACCATAGACACAATGCTGGTTGTTATGGTATTTAGATAATGTCATGGTACAGAACTCTAGTTCCACTCAGGGTAAAAAAGATGGTAAAAAAGATTTGATTTGGATGTTTGTTTCATGATTGCAAGCAAAACATTTTCTCATGATGTAGAATATTTATTGAAATTGGATGTTTTGACGATTGTTTAACACCTAGATTATATATTCACAATTTTAATATGTAAAGTGGGGGACAAAAATAAATCTCAACCCTCAAAAGTTGTCACAATGAGCTAAATTCTAAGTTTCATGTCTCAAACTCTCCCAAGTGGTAGAAAAATAATTCCCATCCACTTTAAGTAGCACAATAAATGAATCCAAAGCCTCATACCTGCAAATGATGGATAAATCCCTACCAAATCGGACTAATGTTTTCATGAATCGCCATGTATTTCAAAAGGGCGGAATGGCATTTTGAAAGCTGACACGTGTCATGTTGCATTCTGGGAGCCAACCCACATTGCGGCGTAATCTGGCTCCAAAATCACCTCAACATTTGAAGAGTCGGCATTAACATGTGAATTCCACATCAAATTTTTAAGTTCTTATTTGTCATTATGGACACAAATTCCACTATATCTGGACTTACTATGACGGAGAAAATAGAGCACTGAATACACTGAGGTAAGAATTTATTACATATGTGACAACATGTAATTTCCATAGGTTTTGTAATTCTTTATGCCCCCCACTGTAGGACCAAAAACTGTAAATCCAAGAACGAAAGTAGTAGTACCTTGGGTGGATAAATGGTATATCTTCAAGTTTGAATATTGTAAAGGTATCGTATATGTATTTAGCATATGATACTCCTAGTTTTACTTCCTTTTAAAACCAATGATTTCATATTATAACAAACCCAGTCGACATGATATCTGCAGTATAACATGTGTTATTATATCCTTTTTCAATTTGTAGTTATATACATGGTATTTATTATCAGGTAAAGGCTTATACTGTATATATTTCATGCTGCGATATTGTTTAACCTTTAACCATAACACCATGGTTAAAAATCAGTTTAACATGGCCCTTTGCCACATTCAAACTTTCCGCCAAAATGAAAATTTCACCTGCATCCTCAGGAATCTATATTCTAAATATAAACAAATTTGAATTGGTATTTAGTCAGTTAAGAAAGAGCCAACAGTCATGGATGTTATACAAGCACTTGGTAAGTTCTCTAAGAGATGAAAACAAGCACTTAAACATGTTGCGCTAATGAGTTACTAATTACTATACTTTGTCAACTAGAGCTTTTGTATCAACTTAACATTTTCATCAGTTTTCAGTTTTGAGCACTTGAACGTTATATAAATATTTAACAAGGAAATGTCTAGTTAAATGCATTGTTTCAACTAACGGCTGCATATTACATCAACCTTTATATTAGAAATATTGATTAACATACAGTTGCATATGAACTCCGCTAGGTATTTTTACTATGGATTATAATGTCTGACGAAGTGGTCCAGAATATTACAATCTGTACCATAGGCCTACTTCACTCGCACTTGTGTAAAGTATACAGTGACAGTTTAAAAATAAAAACCAGCTACTTACCAACATTATGGCAATGATTGTTGACAGTGTTGACTTGGCACATAAGGTTTATTAGCCAACTCAGTTAATAAAATGCTTAATGTTTGAATAAGAACTTAAGTATTATAAAAAGTCTTAACTATTTCATTAAATCATTTCTTTGTAATATTGAAAGAAGGTGTGAAAGACATGGTCTAATATTACATAGCTGTTAATAGTTTTCATGCACAGAGATAAGATTTACCAGGAACCTTATAAATGGATCAAACATGTAAATGATACAATATCATTAAATAAATAGAAGTAATCTTTAATCATAAAATTTGGAAATGAGCAATTGAGTCTCATATGTTGGATTCTCATAACACTGTGCCTGGTAAGTAAAATGTTTTCATAAAATTAAATGTCAGCCTTACAATAGCCTCACTACATGAAAACACTGGTAATGAAATAATATTGAATATGAGAAAGTTGTTTTTGGCTTTGACTCAAAAAGTTACGTTGATAACTATGTTGTCCAATGAAGGTTATATTTTGAAAAAACATTTAAGACTAATTAGTTGAGAATTGGAAAGAATATAATCAACAAAACTGATAAAGGTACTACATTTTGAATGCATTATCAGAACATATATAAGTACATGTTTATAGTATATGTTTCACATTGTAAGGTCCAAAAAAGTGACATGCCAGTTGTCACTGTTTTTGCCTTATCTCCAACATACATTTCATATTTATTTGATTCAACATAATTACATTTGAGTAATTAGTATGCGTCTATGCTCAGAGGGAACCATCTGATGATTGTCTGTTGGGTACAGGTTAGATCCCTAATTAACTTAATTACTCTGCTAAAAGAGACATCATTATTAGTGTCAGAACATACTTGTTTTTATGAAATGGCATACACTGTCGGTCAAATGTATTGAATTTTGGGCATTTCACTGAAATCTATAAATTGCATACTATACAATATTCCACATTTGATGGTGTATGTATATAATTATTATTAATTTTGGAGGTCAAAATATGAATAGGGGTATTTACATTTCTTTTAAAATTTACAATTTAGCTACAACTAAATTATCGAAACTTTAGGGAATTTTGAAATGAAATTATTCTGGAGATGTAGATGTCTTAAATGGTTATTTCTTGAATAATACTTAAAATGGCCCGATATTTTAATTTGAAATTTGAAAGAAATGTGTTCCCTAATTTAAAACTTTGAAATATCCTCTCAATTTATTATTTAGATTGAGATTTAGATAGCCACCTTTTTCCTGATGTCGCCCTCTATTTGATTATATTTTTATAGCACACTTGGGTGTTATATTATGATCAGTTTGCTTGGCGGATGGGTGGTCGGTTGATCGGTCAAGTGGGCGTCTCGATAAATCTTGTTGAATTTACATGGTGCACTTTGATATGAGATGGTATACATTTATCATCTTCAGATATTGATAGCCCTCATGTTGCAGATGGTACATTGGAGACAGTGCTGCTGAGCACTGGTGAATCTGGTGATTTCTCCAATCACAAGTCTTCAGTATTTTGATGTCATACTGTGCTCTCTCATCTACTTGACTGAGTATATTTCAGAGTCAAGTTGTGAAATATGAAATCAAAATCAGAAGCATGACATATCTTGGTTGGTTGGCTAAGGTGAGGTTATATGATGCCATGCTATAGTTCATTGTCTCCCTAGCATCTACATTTAATGTCCATTCATTCCCTTATCATTTATATTTATATTACCCCACACATCTCTTTACCTAAGAATGGCCTCTCCCCCACTCCCAAGTTTTTGTCTAGACTATCACACCTTATAGAGGATTAGCATACAATAGTAAATTCATATTTATTGTGGGAAAATGATTATCCAATAAATCTCATTGCCAAATGGCCCTCTATAAACCCTATAAACATGCCACCAATACTTTCATTCTGAATATAGAATTGAATTGACATTAATAAGATAACTAGATATTTGTAACACAGCAAATATAATTGCACAAAAACATAGTTAATACACATCAGTTACTTATGGAACCTCGGGTGTCTTGTTAACAGCCACATCTTGTTGTAAATATGCAACCAACATTCAAAAAAGCTTAAGATATTTTGACAAAAAACAGCATGGTGCAATTGAGTTGAACGATGCCCTCCAAGGAAGTTACATGTTGATACCCCATCTTATTGGTCACTGACTAAGATACTTAACGACTTATCCACTTAAAATTTAGTGAATATATCATCCCCTAAAATTGATCACAAAAATAAATCATTCGTTTGCTAAGTACTAGATCAAGAAATACGTAGAAAACACACAAGGAATGTGCACAAGAACTGGGATTTATAAACAATATACAGAATTTTAATGTAATACTGTTTGAACGCAAGTAATAATGTTGACTATTACGATTACTGCAAATGAGGCTGTGTTTGAACCAGTGAATATTGTACAGCAGTTTGAGGAACAGAACAGAGCAGTTTGGAGGAATGATGATGTGGCAAGTGAAATTGCATCAAATACATCAACTCCTGTAGAGGATTTTGAAAGGTGCTATATTATGAAGAATGACATGCAACAAGTGGAAAGTTGTGAACAAATAGAAGATACAGAAATGTTCAATGTGAAGGAGGTTACTGATTCAAATACAAATGTTAAAAAGGATGAGAATGATGAACTAACATCCACCATGGAAGCAAATGGATTCACAAGTAGTACAATGCTGGTATTAGATACAAGAGATCATGAAGGATCTGAGATGGATCCTGACAGCATTTCTGTGGATATTGAAAATGGTGATGAGTATGAAAGACCCATAAAAGCAATGGCTCCCAAAAAAGATTTGAAACAAATGTCAGATTCTGATGATGATTCAGTGTTAGAGTCATTGATGAAGAATAGCCTAAACCTTGAAGCACCAATGTTACCAAACATGGTGAGTAAGCCTAAAACAGGAGGATATCATATCCAACGCATGATTCTAGCTGAAACAACCGATAGTGAGGTAGATCCAGTTGTACCACCAAGAACGTATAGAAAAACAAAAATGTACCATCTCATGTCTAAAAGGAGATTTCCAAATGACGTTCGAGCTGTGCAGCAGTCAAATCAGAGAGGTTATCATATACAAAATGTACCAAATAAGGACTTACCACAATCAGATGCTAATGCTGCATTTATTACCAACCAAAATAGAAGCTTCAAACCTGTACAGGCTATTCATGATGATAAAATGCCAACAGTAGCTAATCCAAAATCATTCAAGCAATTATATGACTCGGTCGCTCAGTACCGAGGTGCCCCATCAGAAGTGAAAGAAGTGGTACCAGAGGAAATATATGATGAACCTGTTTTTGCAAAGAGAAACATGAAGCCCATGTATGACTCGGATAGTTCATGGGCTGACAATCATGATATACCACCTCCTTTACCCCCAAGAAGGAGAAACCTACCTAAAATAATGTCCCACTCGACTAAAGCTGATTTGCATACACAGATATACAGCGAGTCAGACACAGATTCATCATTTAGTTTACCTTACTCCAGATATCCTAATCTACATGACAAGCAATATAATCCCATTAAATGTTTGAATAGTCAAAATGGTATCTCAACTGAGTTCCATAATAATGCATACAAATCACTATTATCTCCAACGGTTAGTGAGACAACCCAATCAGACACAATGAATCTATTTGAAAAGAATATGCTCAAAAAAGCACAGGCAATGGATTATTTTGATGGACCACCAGCCTGTGAAATGGGTGTGACATCTATACCTACTATGAGAAAGCTTGCACCCGATTATGAAATTGGTGCAGAAAAACCATGGGAACAACATTTTATCCAATTGGATAATAGGATGAATGATGTTATATTGAAAGCTGATGATCGGTATTTTGGTTCATCTAAGTCACTTGTAGGTATGTGATAGGTTCTATGTTACATTTTCCCTTTTTAAAGTCTACTTCATTTAATGCTCTCAGTCAGCTTTCACTTGATTACCACATCTTATAATTGATATCTAGAAATAATTAAGGATATTGCATGTTATTATTCATATAAGTCAGTCACAGTTATGTGAATCTTGAGTTGAGTTATAAGCAAGGATGGGTATATGCAGACTTGATAAAGGAGTTGCTATATAGCTGAAGAAAGCTTAAATACATAGATGTCGGCTCTTGTTTTTTTATTATTTTGGTTGGGTCAGACTGCCATAGACTTCAATGGTAAAAAAACTTGCAATATAGTCACTTGATTTCATGATTTATGAAAAAGTGTTCAATCTGTCTAAAACTTGAATGGCATACTATGGGATGATCCTATGAATGTAAATACATGTATTTGGATTAATCATAAAAATTTGGGAATTTTAACATCACAACAATGGAGATTTGGCCCACATCTTTGCAGAGTTGTTGAAGTCATGGTAGATGATTACATAACATATGGTAGTCATTTTTAGAAAAATTTTCATTGGAAACTCCTCTATTGCAAAAACGTCAAACTAAAGTACAAGGTAGAAGTGTCAATACATATCGGATCAAAAACCATACCTGTGTAGCATATGTTATAAAGTTTGCACAAATAGTTATTTGATCTTATATCTGATTTCTTGTTCCGTCTTGAACTGCTATGCACTGATAAGGAACTCCTTTCAAACTTGTTTTGAAGTCAATATTACTTTCATTTGACTGATTGTTGACGATAAGGAGAAATGTTTTTGATAATTTTAAGGCTTACAAAAGCTATTTACAGAAGGTATTCAATGAGAAAGTTTTGCAAACAAATTCAAGATTAGATAAATGTTTGAGAAGTCATCAGTGAGTCAGCGGTAAACATGTTGTTCTGTTTAAGTATTTTGTCAGTACATGTAGAGTGAAAACGTTTTTTGGATTCATTGATAGCGCAGCATGTATTTTCCTCTCCTTTCTGTGTAGAATTTATCATATATGGTTTTCCAAAGCCTTTACATTTTATCAATCATATTCATCATGTGGTCCATACAATATACTTTAGTCAACACAACATGGCAACACACTAAAGCACATTGCAACACAATATTGCAGAGTACTGGAACACAACACTGCACTGACAGTTTCAACATACCGTATTCTCTGTAATTAGCGCCCAGGGCATTTAGAAAATTGAAAATACATTATTTAGACCATTCTAATAAGCGCCCATGTATGAAAGAAATCAGAAATCCCGAGGAATTTCATGTATGGCAATTTTTCTTGACAAGAATGCATTTTCTTCAACATATTTTTATAATAATATGACAAGTGCTGTTATTGGAGAGAATACGGTAAAGATCGCTTAGACAATATTGACAGTGGTTGAAGACCCGTCTATGTCTAATTTATTTCCGGCACGCCCACTTTGTCATTATCGCCGATTACCTTCAATATTTCCACTAGAGACTGCTGGATATCGATCTAAAGTTATACATTATTTCTAATTTGATGAGAGATCATCATTATTCGTGCAAAAGTCGTGTAAAAGTCGAGAAACATTAAAAAGAAACCAGAAAGTTCACGACCTTGACATGCGCAGAACATCTGCGCAGTAGCTTTTGAAATTTCTGAATGCCGATAAAGAACAATTCCTTCATTCATTATGGACTATTTGGAGACAATATTAGCATGGTATGGTGTGGGAAGCACCCATCGATAGATATGTATCGAGAGGATGCATAGAATTACAAAACGCGTCGTGTTTACAGGTTATAATGAAAACACGCGCTACGCGCTAACGCGCTAGCGCACTAACGCACTGTTCAGAATGATCGTTCCCACAGGCCCAGGAACATGTATAAAAATCGAGTGAGTGAAGAGATTAGGTGGCGCATCAGAAAGCAGAAGTATGAAGAAGCCCAATGTTTGATCGTTAACTGTGCAAAGATAATCGATTGTCAGTGTGTTTTATCTGATTTAAAAGGAAGATAAATAGAAAGTAGCACCTTACAAGATGAATGGTCGCAGATATGCGAATACGCTCCCTAATTGCATTATTTGGGTCCATCCATCGGCGAGAAAAATCCCGTTTCGAAATCTGAGCCGGGGGCCCGACTACTTGACTAATGACTTAATAATATAATGTTTATTTGTCGCATGTTACCTCTTAATATCAAGTCATGGATGTTTTATATATCTTTACTCTTTGTATTTGAAGTTATAGGCTTATCTCTCAGACTTACCAAACGGTGGGATAATTTGCAGGCGTCGCATTTATATTTTTCCATTTTTCTTTTCGTGCCCGGTTACACCTCTTTCGCTTTCATGGGGGGGGGGGGGTGTATAGGGTTATCGTATAAGAGGAGGGTGAAAATCTATTGTATGACTGCATAAGAGGGGGTAACATTTATCGTATATGGCATCGTATAAGTTAAATAAACATATGTTTTAAAAGAATTAAAGAAGCCTATTATGAAATTTAAACTCGCAGTTTGAACGAATACTGCAGATCCAGCTTATCCCCATAAATTTGGGATTTCAATACACAAGTAGTTGTGGGGACTTGCCCGTAGCCAGCTTTTACCAGGAGGGGGAGCCTTTTTTCCAGGGGAAGCTTTTTCACAATTTTGGCTAATAATCATACAAAAAATTCTCAGAATGGTGAAAAACTGCATGATTTTGAAAGAATCTCTGGCTAGAGGGGGAGCTCCGCTCCCCCAGCTCCCCCTCTGGCTACGGGCCTGGTTGTGGGGGGTGATTTGAAAAATCAGTCCCACATTTATGGGGGTAATCCAGATCTCTATATAGTAGTCTCTATATGCCATATGCCAGGACAGTAACCAGGATTTCCCAGGGGTGGGGGGGTCACTTTTTCAAAAATTCCAAAGTCACCCTCCGAACCCCCCTGGCTTCAGGCCTGTGTACTGCCTATTTGCCGTATGATTATACATTTGGTACTACGTGGATTCTTGCATTATGTTATTTCCTTCTGAATATTATCCAAACTTTTTTCAACGGTAATTTCAAAATTATCGTACAGATATATTATTTACCCGAGCTTTTTGTAAAATATAGTACTATAGGGAGATGTGAAAAATATTGCACACACTGTATGTTAAATACATGTAAAAGGGGTGAAAAATGCTGTAAATGGTATAAGACTGAGGGGCTGGTGAAAAATAGTGAATATGGATTTCCAAGACCCCTATAAACCCCCCTTTCATGTTTGCTTTCGTTTTTCTCAATTTGATTTTAGATTTAAAAAGTTTTGAATTACGTCAGTCCCAGTGAATTGTATTACCTATTTTACCAGGAATATTGTTGAAAACAGGATTGTATTTCATTTGGAATTAAAGTTTTAAATAAGAGACGATTTAAAAAGTAATGTAAACCTGACCAGCGTGTTTTATCATTGTCCAGTAATTGGCCGTAAATATTTATTAATTCTAAGTTACTCATGTTCTTTCAGGTCAAATACAGAGAAAAGTACATGTTCATTTAGTTTTGGAATTATTTCCTAAATTAAAGTTGAATTCTGTTTTTTAACGGTGTGAAGAACATCTTAATTGGTCTTATATTTTTAGAGAAATCGTAACTTGAAAAGTGTAATTTTCGAGAGGCTTTGTTTATTTCCTGCGGCCGCAAAGTTCACATCAAAGTCTGATTGACAGGTTAGCGGTGATTTATACAGTCTTAGAAGTGTCAATGTTTTGACAAGTTCCCAGGGAGTCATAACCCTAATTATACATGTCCCTGGGCCAAGGGTATAGACCAATCATAAACATGCGCTTAAAACATGCGCACACATCGTGGGGGAAGGATCATTTTCTACTAGCGCATTGGCGCGTGGCGCGTTAGCGCGTAGCGCGTGTTTTCATTATAACCGTGTTTACAGCAGTTTTAGGGTAAGTACTCTATTATCGCCCGCTCCTGGATTTTGAGAAATATTTTTTTCCTGATATATTCTTCAATTCTTGTTGATTCCTCGATGTTTCTTGAACTTTGTGAAGCGGGGTGCGCGCTTATTAGAGAGTGGGCGGTAATTACAGAGAATACGGTAGTTAAAATTAATTGTTGCATGTACATATACTTGAAATTCTAGATGTTACTTTCTCACTTCATGCTTTTGGCAAAATTGGTCCACTTTGGTGACCTTAAAACAATTAGCATAACATTTATCAATAAACTTCTAAAATGTGTTTTGTTAAGGGAGATCCGATGGGCCTTAAGTCATATCAAAGTCACTTTTTCTTGTGTCTTTGCCAATAGATACATGTAGGTTTCAAGCAGCACTTTTCAAAATGCAACCTTTGTGGTTCTACATCTATCTGTTATAAGTTCTGCTGGTGATTCTATTTTGTATTCAGTTGAGCAATGGGAGGAGATACGTGTGTTAGGTCATGTGGTTCTAAACTATGTATGTCTAGCTTCTATAGCTCCATTTCTTAAATACATCTGGAAATACCTTTTATATGATGTAGACAGGTAAAAGACAATCACAAACAACTTTCTCCAGGTGCATGGTTTGACTCTGTTGTCTAAGTGTTTTCTGATCAAATGATACCAACTGTGTATTTGGAGATTGTGCTGCAACTTTTTCTCATCATCAATGCTATTGATACCCACTGATGTGATACAGGGATGTTCATATCCCTTTACCTTTAGACTCCCATTTATTCCATACAATTTTTATATTATTACCTGCTAAACAATGAGAGATGACAGGTTGATAAATGCGATACTTTCAGTAATGTTGTATTTAATATTGTTTTCAGTCATTAAAGTCTCTTATATGGAATGATAATGATAGTGAGTCATTTTCTTCAAGATAAGAATTTTCTTTGTTGTATATGTGAGTCCACATCTAACTTCTATAAAGATATGGTCAGAGAAGTCTTTATTTTCCTATACGAGGGTTGTCCCATAAGTCTTGAAATTTTTATTCTAATTCAAAAAGATTTTGATGAATTTGGCTGAAAATTGGTATATATCAAGATCAATCAATTATCTTCAACATGTGATAGTTTCATAACAAAATTATGAACTTGAGTAACTATTATGGTTGCTATGGTAACCGGGGGAGTCAGGGGGTGGGGCAGTAATGAAATATAGTAAAAATGTAAAATGGAGCCGTGGGAGTATTAAGGATTTTGAAGGATGGTATGTATCTTAAATTGTGAATCACCTGTCAAGATTGACAAAAACACTGTATTCTTGGTAAAATCTTATGAAATACCTCTGTGATGTCATAATAAACTAGCACAATTGCTCAATTTTGGTACAGAGCCACAGCATTTTGAAAATCAAAATGGCAGGGATTTTGTCACTAGATGTTAAATCTTTGCGTGCAGTTGTGCAATACCACGCCTCCTTTAGGCATACACCTACACAAACAAGAACAGCCATGGAAAAAGTATATAGACAGTAAACTCCAAGTGCACCTACAATATGGAGGTGATAGAAGAAGTTAAAAACTGGAGATACCAGCCTGGAAGATGCTCCTAGAAGTGGAAGGCCAAAATCCAGTGACAATCTCATATCACATATTGCAGAGAGTAGGCCTATAAGGGCTGAAATGAGAACTACTCAGTGTAGGAAGATCGCTTAGACTTTGATATTAGTAAGAGTACTGCTCACAGAGTGATGAAGAAAGATCTTTGGATGTCAAAGGTAGCCCCTAGATTCATTCCACATATTCTGACAGAGGAGCAGAAAAGGCAACGTGTTGAGCTGAGCCAGGGGTTCCCAAATCCTTAATTTTTACGTCATATTTGTATTTTTATCCTGTTTTCTGCCCCGGGTACCCCCAACATTCCATTTTTAATCATCTGTAACATTACCAAATGATCTTATTATGCTATGAAACTTACAGAGATAGTAAAAATATATCTACGTTAGAAAATGTGAAATTTTTATCATTGTATCTCAAATATTCTATGAATAAGAATAAAAATTTCAAGACTTATGGGACAACCCTCGTATGTCAGTCTATTGTTTTATCTCAAATACAAGCCATTCAATCAATCAAATACGAAGGCCGGCTACTAAGATTAGTTTTTATATTGCATCTAATATGTGTTTAATATGACCGCTTTCTGATAAAATATGAGAAAACTGGCACAATCAGCTGGTTAAATTATAATACAGGTGATGTCTGATGATTTATTGCAAAGAGCAATTAACAATAAAACTTAAAGTTTTTACCAGTTTTAACTATTTGTAAATGTCACATGATGGTTTTCAAACAGAGGTTTATGAGAGGATGTTTAAAACACTTAACACGGGTTTTGTTTTAGTATTTTTGGTGCAGTCATTTCATAGGGTCTAGTATGATGGCATGAGTGGGTGATAAGCGAAAGGTTGAGATATGAACTATTATGACCTCCCGTCACATTTTATTGAAATTACTTGATAAGGAGCTTTAACCAATGATGAAGTACACCTAATGGAATACCTTTGTTTCGGACATATATTTAGGCCTAAAATGGATAATTATTAAGGATATATCCCAACAGGCCAGATACACACCAAGGATTATAACAAGATGGTGTCAATGAAGCCTTTAAAGATCCATATCGAAGGGGAACCAGAGTCTGATGGTATGGAATTCACAATTATTAAATTTATACTTAACGCTTTTTTTGGACTTTGTACATGTGAGAAGAGATTTTGATATAGTGGTTTATATACAGGTACACTTCCATACTGGCTTTGATCACTTGTTGAAGGTCAGAGATGAAATCATTGTTGTGAAGGCTGTCAAACTTCTTCTTGTTTCATTTTGCCTTTGGTTTGTAGGAGAATATGTTCCATACTTTCATTCTTCATTATCATTTCATTATCTTAACAGATCATGCTAACGAACATGAATACTGAGTCAAAAAACAATGTCATTGAGTTTTACCATATACCTGCTGATTTTCAGGCATACATGTGATGTAATGTAATTCTCTTTGACATTTAATACATCTCCCGGGGTCTGTAGCCAGCTTTTGCCAAGGGGTTTCACTTCAGAATTGCTCAGAACGGTGCAAACTGCATGATTTTGAAAGAGATTTTGGCCAAGGGTGCCCACCAAACCCCCTGGGCTAAGGGCCTGAGCTCAAGAGTCAACTTTATGAGAATGAAACTTCGCCTAACTCATTCTATTCCTTCTGAGGATCACCCAATGTAGATATATTTTTAGTAAATGTTTAATGTCAAACATCTTGGCAATTTTCCCTTGAGTTAATCTGCTATGAGTACCGACTTCCTCAAGATATTCATCAATGGTCTTTTTTAGAATAATGGATAATGATTCAATAGTTAGCCCAAGAAACATTTTTAAGATCACCACTAGGGCATCTATATATGATAAGATAGAAGATGCATGAGTGACATGATCAAATGTTTCAGAATTATAATGTGTGCACTTTGCGAGTATTACTAATGTGTATTACATCCTGTAGAGACTTCCTTATAATTATACTTATAGTATTTTGGTTTTTATTCTACCATTGACAAGTATGTTTTGTGGTTAGTATTACATTTTTTAAATACTGGGTACTGTACTTTGTATGTCAGCTTATCATTAGAGGAGTTGAATATCAAATAGAAACCTTTGACATTTTTGAGAAATGTATATTACAATGTTCCCATGTTTAGTTTTCATATAATAATATTATTGTTACCCCTTCTACGAAGTTTAGAATATATTTATACATTCAGTACATATATGCTGTCTGATAATTTATAAACTCCCATTGAATTAAATAAACAAGCTTAAATGTACAACTTATAAAGAAGTCTGGTATAATGGAGAGTTGTGCTAAGATCCTATAACTGAGGCTATTGACAAGTCAGTAATCGTATTGCACATCCTTTATCCTATCATTTTCTTTTGTGGAACGGTGTAAAATCTCCTCCTTAATCTTTAGACCTTCGATGGTGTTAATATTATAGAGTTAACTGAAATGTGTTTTTCCCTTTTTGAGGTGTAATCGTTAGACCTTCGATGATGTTAAGAGTTAACTGAAATGTATGTGTTATTTAAGGTATCTCAGGTAATGGTACATAGGATGTCACCTTTTAGCTACCCTGCGCGCAGTGTCTAGTTGTAAACTAAGATGCAGCTCTCTTTTAAGAAGCAAAATCGAACTTATTCAAAGGGTACCATTCATGGTTTTTTATTTATTAAGTAATTTAGAGGTCATTTATAAGAGGTGCTGAGTGTTTTTATATGTGTATGGCTCATCTAAAGATTTGAATGAAAAAATGGGTCTATTCTATAGTTCAGGTATTATATTTATGTTCAGATTGTATGAATACAGTGGGGCTAACTTGACACCTTCGATACCTTTGAATGATTTGTTGTTGGGAACAAAAAAACAAAATCTGAACAGTGCCATTTTAATAGATCTATTGAAAGACTTGACTTTTGTGTTTCCTGTATATATATTGAGACAAGTGCAACAAGGACAATGGAAACATTATAATCATGTACATTAACCTCTCGACTTCCCAGAGGGACAAGATTTCTTGTCACCTAAAAAATAATGTTGAAACCCAGGGCGACAAGGTTGTCTGTGAGAAATTTTTCAATAAAATTGCTCTATTTTGAACCAATTTCATCCAATTTGCACAAAAACATTTTGAAATACATGTACACGTATGTAGAAATGATCTCTGCCGACTAATTTCACTAAATTTAAGCATCACTTGTTCTAGGTGTATGTAATAAAATGTCAGAAGTTGGCAAAAATTAGTTGGCAAATTCTAGAGCTAGAGAATTTAGAGCCAGGGATTCAAGAGTTTAAACAGCATAATTGATATATCTTCCTCTGTTGTATTTCCAGACTCGATGGACCATCACACAATAGCATCGAGTACCCAGACCCCCATGAACTATGGGCCAGTGACCCTGGATGATAAGCTGAGATTGGCAGCTAGCAAAGGCCAGGATGTAACTGTTAAGGAACTTATTGCATCTGGTGCAACCTTCCAACCAGATAGGGTAAGTCAGACTTATGATTTATGTAATGGTTATGACAATACACTGTATATGTTGTTAGAAGTCCCTTCTGGCAGTTTCAATTGAATAACTTCCATAAATCAAAGCATATCCCCTTTACACTGTAAAACCCATACAGATGTTCCTAATGTTGCAAAGATGCTAGTAATGAAAACCTTTTCAGAAGTATATTTTGTTGATAGTTGACCTGTCGTCTGACATTATGTTTACTAAAAACATGTTATGAATAACTTAAAAATAGTTAACTTATTTATTCTGGCCATCAATTGAACATTGAAAATCGTAGCTATGTGGTTGTATTTCCTTATTTTCAAATGTTGTCGAACATTAATATTCAACCGCTAAAGCAGGATTACTGTGGCTTTGTAAAATTGGCTCAGCTATTTGGGTAACAGTAGATTTTATATGTGCCATATAGCGTGAAGTATGGCTTCGTTTTGTGCTCTCAATAAGAACATAATAAAATATGCATAATTTGTTCAATGTTAGTATTTTCATTTCTTAAAACATCCAGAAAGCCAGTTGAAATAATCACAATAATCGATGAACTAGTTTGGTAACGGTATTTTCAGGTGTGTTTTTGCATTTTTTTGCGTTTTTGTGGAGTAGTATGGACTTGATAGATTCAGCTCTTAAGGATGTTCCCTGGTCAGATAGGAAAATATTCAATAGTATTTAACTTTTTCTCAAAAATGGTTTTCTGGGATTCTCACGGGCAACAAAGAATATTAAAACTTTAAAAACCATATGTTAGTGTGCTTTTTTCTGAGCAAGAGGCCTCTAAAGTGTCAATATTTGACAAAAGTGGGCGTGGCACTTTCTCATTGAAACCCATGTTAAAAATCAGGTTTTCACCACAAAACACACTTTTGAATATTTAACTTTTTCTTAAACTCACAGAAACACTTAGTTATGCTATGTACTTCACATTTTGAAAAGAAAAATTAGGGGTTGGTGTTCATCGTTTTCAACTTCGTCCAGGGAACATCCTTAATAAATGTATAAATTTATAAAAACCTGAAACATCCATTCTGATACTCATAGCATCTTTCTGTTTCACCTGAAACATCATCTCAGGGCTGACAAGAAATGAGATGTCATGAACGGTTTATTATGATGTGACCCATCCAGTTTTTAAATATGGTCAAATTTTGTTGATGTTTATCATTTTGAAGTCAACTTGAACATATTAATCTGATAAATGTTATAGGATCAAACTGTGTTACGATTACGAAATTATTGCATTACTCCACCCTAATGTTCTTATCCCTTTAAGAGCATCAAATTGAGTTAAGTCTTAAACTATTTTCATTTTTACTAAGCTCAGTTGTTTTTCTCATTTCATAAAATTCAATTTCTTGAGGACAGAATTCAAAAGTTGTTATGAGTTGACTTTAGTAGTTTATTGGGATAAACTGAATGGAAAATCACATATTACTTTTGTGTACATTTATTAAGTATTTCCATTTGGTACGCTATGTAGTTTTTAATTCACGACATAAGAACCCTTCATGTGAGTGAAACTACCCGGAATAATATACAGACAATGAGAAAGTTCAACATTGTGGTCCATTTGGAATTATAAAAGACCGCTACCTAACAAATTCCAATTATGTTTTCACAGAAGTTTATGCTTCATTGAGATGTATGTTTTCTCTAGTGTTATAAGAAAAATTCTTGGCTAATCTCCTTTTTGAATTTTCTACATAGAACATACATTTATTGTTTATTCTCTTGGCAGTGAATAAATGACCTAGGTTGACACAAACCTTGTCTACTTATATCTACAGTTATGGGCTATAGAGAAACCATTTGAAGAATACAATTTTATATTTGTTCAGACTTTACAAGAAGTATTGATTTTGTATACTTTAGAAGGAATTTAGACTTATCTGAATTTGATCACTTTCGAACAAATAAATTGCGTTGATATAACACCATCTTGGAATTTCCATTTGGCACGCTTGGTGTTGTTACAATTGTTTAGATTTTGGACATTGTTCTCAACAACACCTTTGCAAGTATTGACCACTCGTGTCAGAAAATCAAGCTTGTTGTAAAGCAACAATTTCCAATTTCCTTTACTAAATCCGTATTCAATAAATAACATATCTTATTCCAGTGATCTCCAAAGCATTGATGCAAGACGTGCTGTACCCATTTGTGATTTTATAATATGCTCCTTGTCCTTGCACCCATCTATATACATCCACTTGAAAATTAGAAAAATCATGAAAAATAGGCATATTTTGACCAAGTTTGGTCTATATTGTGAAAATAAGAAATTTCCATCGACTTGAAGAAAACAATGTTATTGTGTCATCATGAGATAAAATGTGAAACCAGCTGACTATCAACTTCCTTTAAAAAAGATATTGCTTAAGTTACAAAACACAAAGATGTGATCAGCATCAGAATGGTACATTGTTGTTATTCTTCAAATACAGGTTCTTCTTTTGGCTCGTTTTTCACATCTTGATCTGTCAAGGTACTGTAGATTGGGTTAATTTGGCGCTACTTAATTTGGCGATTTTGTCATTTTTGGCATATTGGCGGCTATTTAATTTGGCGGATATATGAAAAAAATGTTAATGCAATGTTAAACTTACTTATGCGAATTACCATGTAAATGGGTATGTTTGGCTATGTTCATTTTTCTTTTTAGGACCACTGGCGATATTCACCACGTTTGTACATTTTTGTGAGATCATCCTTTACATTTTGTTCCTTGATCGATGCTGCTACTATACTGTGCTTTTCCGTTCTAGTTTTCCCTGAGTATTAATGATCATGAGTGACTGACCAGTTCAGAGCCAATTTATAAGAGACATTTTTCTTATGGAAAAACCTAAACCGAAAGTGACCTAAATACACTGGACGAAATACCCTAGATTATTCCCGGTGATTCATTCTAAATTTTGGCGAAGATTTATATTGGCGAATTTTTCAATTTCGCCAAATTCGCCAAATTAAAGCGGGCGCCATATTAACCCAATCTACAGTATAACATGACTGAAGGAATACATTTGTTTAAGCCTCAGTCACATTTGCTTTATGGCGGCCGCCGAGTGGCCGTAGCTTTGCAAAATCAGAATAGAAAATCTACATTTAACTGCTTATCCCTCCTATAATTGTATTTTATGCCGCATATTTCTCTCGAAGCTATGGGAAGCTATGGCCACTGTATGGTTGCAGTAGATCAAATGTGACTGAGGCATGAACTTTATGTGTTTTTCACTGACATTAAATTATTTCATTTGCTTTTTAGGAAGGAAGAACTGCCCTTCATTATGCTGCTCTCAATGGTTATGCAGATCTTGTACGCTTTCTCATTGCAGCTGGTGCGGATGTCGATGCACAAGATAATGTAAGTACACATAATCATTTTATTGTTATTGTTATATGCTAACGTTTTAAATTTTTTAACATGGAATTAAATGGAGGTTAGGAAAAGGTGTTCATGTTGAAAAATTTAGAAAAAGAGTGTTCACATTGAAAAAATGTTGAAAAGGGTGTTTATATTGAAAAATGTAGAAAAGAGTGTTCACATTGAAAAAATGTTGAAAAGGGTGTTCATATTGAAAAATGTTTCAACAGCACATGTGTAATGGATATAGATTTGACTCTATATAGGTGTTCAAATAATTTTGAACTCTGTTACATCATGGCATGAAACCTGAGTAGAAATCAATCACTGCTGCAGCTTAATACAAAGCCATCATATACTTCTAATCAATTAGAGCAACAATTAAGTCTGTTTCATTTAATAGGCTCTCTTTGTTACATTTATTTAATATGGGCGCCATTTGCTCAATGTCAGAGTTAATATTGTGCACAATACAGGAGTTAACAGTATTGTTGACCTATACAGAGGTAGACTGGAAAAGTTATCTACCTCTGCTCTAAACAAATATTGTTGCTTATTAGTATCCAGTAGGGCTCAAAAATATTATAAGCTGGGTTGAAAGTTGTTTGGAATAGAGTTTTGGGATGGATTTCTATTGAGACAATGTCTTGGAAATAAAGTTAGATTAGTAGTTAGGGTAACTGGTTGGTGTATTATATATATCTTTTATTGACTCTTTAGATGTCATATCATGACATATTAGTCACTAAGGTAGAGCAGTTCTTCCCATTGTCGAGTTGAAAAACTGGTATCTTTATCCTGGCTAAAACCATAGACAATTCTAGCCAGCGCCAGCCTTTTATCGAGTTAGCAGCACTCTAGTATTAAAAGTACAAACACAAAGTGTATATCGGTCTGGTTTGTTGTTACATACTCTCGCTCAATATCGTAATGGTTAATATTTTTATCATATGACTCAATGCTGTCCTATCAGGTTCCAAGGTATTTAAGTTGAGTATTGCGATAAATGATAAACTGCCTTTGTTTGAACTTAGGAATAACTCCCATGTCCATTGATCTGTAGTTCCAATTTAACAAATGAAAATTTTGTAATTTGTAAAATATGCGGAACATATATCTTGTATGCGCATATACATATATGAATGTAGATTATGGACAGGATGTTTCCATTTGGGTCTAATCTTGGGAATGGTAATATTCACATGGTATTATGGGCCCATCATACACTTTTCGCAAGGGGGGGGGGGGCGAAAGGTGCTGTTTCACAAATAAACCATGACATCTCAAATATTCTCAGTCCTGATTTTCAGAATGAATGAGTATCAGAATGGTTATCATATGGCATCAGAGATGTCAGGTCTATTAGGATTTATTGCTGAATCTTTTACATTGCACAAAAACAGATTATTTCCATGCATGGAAAGTTTGATCTCATTGTAAAGTTTATTGCACACCTAACGCATCTCCCAAAGCATCCGATGGGCCTGGTATTATTTTGATATTCCCATGGTGAATAACAAACTGGAGGTTTGCATGTTCTGAAACATATTGCCATCTTGCTTATGAATGATGTACAATGAACACGTGTTGGGACGTGTGCGCTTTCATGCATTTTGACGTATAATTATTGTTCCACTTTAGTTTCCATAGTAACTATTGTCATATTAGAAAAGCTGTTCCTCAGATTGGCCGCATGAATGATTTGAACAAGTTTCTTTGGAAAAAACCATGGCATTGAAAACACTCACAACATTTTTTTTATATTTCAAAGGTTATTGATTTCCTAAGTTATCCCTCAACATATAATTCAAGGTAAAAGTTTGGTTAACCAATTAAGAATTTGTTTTTGTTGATAAATCAATGCCGATGGACAAACAAAGCTAAATCTAATGAAATAATTTCCCTTTAGACCTAACTTCCACCATTCTATATATAATCATCCCAACTGACCACTAATACAATTACAATCCTGGTCTTAATTAATTTGATGAAGGATTGATTTACTTAATTAGTTCATAATTTGTTGCATGGCTTAATTCATGTTGTCAAGATCTCTGTTGATTACCATGCCAAGGCTTCCCATAACTTTATGCCTCCTTGTCTTGCTGTGCCTGATAAGATTGTTCTGATATCACTGACCTGTTTTCCCACCCCCTGGGATACCCATAGAGAGAGTCTTAGCATAACAATGGTTACACTATATATAATTTATGACATCTGCCTTCCTGTGGAGATGGTGTCAAGAATCATGATCATTGTTCACCTTATTCTTTCAAATTTATGCCACCTGGCCTGTTTATACAGAGACCCTGTGTGTACCATGGCATGGTTCACAATGGTAACATGCTTTCTATCATATCTTTCCCATAATAATCTGGCCAATCATCATGATATGATGCAGTGATCTTCCCAGCATTGAAGCAAGTGGGCACAGCACCCATCTGAGATTTTGAAAATAGGCTTGTACCCAGCCAAGATTTCATTTGCACCCACTAGAAAATGAGAAAAATCATCATGTAAAATTGGCATATTTTGACCAATCTTGGACTAATTTGTGAAAATGAGAATTTTGCACCTACTTGAGAAAAAATCCTGGGGAGAACACTGCGTGATGTGTGCAGTTGCACCATGCATTCTGATGCTTATCCCATATCTGTCATTTCAATGTTCTGTACTTATATCATCCTTGGTCCGACTTGATCCAAGAGTATTTCACTTCTTTCCATAAAGTTCAAGTATAAATGAAGTTCTTTTGAAGAAGAATGTACTCATATGTTGCCCATTGACTTACCTTTACTATATATCTTGGTTATATTGAATATGGGCTTAATCATTTTGTTTGGTTTATTAGATGTTTTAGAATGTTTTGTTCTTCAGTTGGTTGCACTTTCAAATAGTTTGGTTTTGCTTCCTTAAAAGAGAGCATCATCCACCTAATGTCCTTAAGGTATCACTTGGTGATTGTTAGATAAAAAACACAAGGTAAAACTAATTTTCAATTTTGTAATTGAATCTAGTTCGGTAGTATTGAGGAGGAGGGTCAATGATTTATTTAGTTTTAGTCATTGAAGTCATGAGAGAGTTTTGGTGTTTTATTGTTCATTGAGACTTTCTATTTTGTCCTTTGAGCTATCAGTGTACCCCAATCAGGGCCCCTAATTTAAGACTTATTTATTTTTAAGTTGTTTAGTATTTGGTTTAAATCTGATTGACCTGTGGTCTGCACACCATGCTGTGACTATAGACTAATTTGGTTTACCACATGAAGTCTGGAAAAAAGCAATCTCTTGGAAAAGTCACAATGTTCCTGGTTTAGATAACAATGTAACAAAGAAGTTGTGTTTGAGGTATAGATAACAGGAGAAAGCAAGAGGTAAACACAAGATGTTGGCAAGTTAGATGCCAGGAAATGAGTCTTGATTGATATACGGAGAGACGTGAAGTAGAAAAACCATGGCCAGAGTGAGAAGTTTAGTATAGGAAGCCTATAAGCCTATTTATGAACAATTATAATCCATTACATTCTGTCACTTCCAGTTTCATAATCCTAGATCATATTTCTATGTTCTCATTGAGGTTAGGATATAACTGTTATAAAATCCTTATTGGTGTTGTTCTCCACTTCATTTCAAGAGGTCTCGTTTTGTATGATTTGACTTGTAAGGAAACTTTTAACAATTGAATTGGAATTCAAAATAGAATCATTCTTTTGAAGTAGAGATCTTTCTTTTGTTGACTAATCTGAGCTGTTTTGCTCTGATTTTGTAAGGGTGTTTTATGGGGTATATTTAGAATGTGAAAGTTGAGTGTAATAATGTAAATTGCCCTTGTTCTACCCCTTTTCTCAAACCCAAATTGGTTCTCACCCATTTTCTTCCTCTAGTTAGAAATAGATGAGAGGGAGGCCAGTCCTGTTACCCGGATAGTGTTAGGAGGGGTGGGTCGGGATGGGGGGTTAACAGGGATACAATAACTTCGGGTGTTTTGTTGACTTCCTCCTCTTAAAGTATACCTGGATGTCTTAATCTTTCACCTTATCGTAATGTCTTGTTAGCTCGCAAAGTAAGACTTTTTACTTTATGTTTTTTATGTTAACAACCTCTGAATAGGAATGTGTTTTTACATTTTGAGAAAGTCATTAAAACTGTTGGAGCAAATCTACCCCACTCAAAGCATTTAGCAGTTTAATACAATGACGAGCTGAGATATAGTTTGTCACATTTTCACCATGTAGCCAAACTTAAATTTCAAATATAACAGCTTTCAAGAATGATCCTTCATTTCTCCTTTGCAAATCTTATATGGAAATTATTTGTATTATAGGAATATGGGGTCATATTAAAATTCATATTAAAAATTATTCTCATGTTCTTTGTTTACAATGTTTATTTCCCAAATAGGTCAGGAATTCATTCTTAAAAAGATGCAATCTGTTTGTATTAATGTAAAGGTTAACTATGTACATGAATGTGCAGTTTAGTTATGTACAAATATGCATGTCGATGTAATCATATGTAAATGTTATCTTACACAGTCGTTTGACTAAGTGGATGTTTTTTAGCTGGCAGGCTAAAACATGGCAGATGGTACAGATTGGCTGGATTTGAAATTCCTTTACAATTAGTCGTTGATGACCTTTTTAAGTTAATTCCAGTCGCAATTATCCTGGAATCTACACAGAATGCAATCAAAAGTATTACATGTATTTCAATCATAGAAACTTTTAAAACTTTAAAAAGGTGTGAATCTATTTTACTCTATCTTAGCAATATGAATTTTGTGACCTGGTGTAGATAAACACAAGAGTGCACGACTCTGTGACTTTTGCATGACATTTATTGATGTGTTCTATTATTGCTGTCAAACAAACAAAATATATTGTTGTTTATTTGTATTGCTGGCTATTTGAATTATAGTTTGAGCAACAGTTAGGCAGTTTATTTGCCTAACTGTGTCTGGCATTAATATGATGGCCCATGAGGTTCATTTAAATTTGGTAATACTACTGCAGAGACATCTCTTTATCAAAGGTTGCACTAAAATAAATATCTAAAACCAAGCACTCTGAATTACACTGTGGTCAACCTCTCTATCAAATAATTAATAATAATGAGTCAAATATTTTTATCAACTTTAAAAATTGTGAAAGCCAAGTAACTTCTATTCAGCTTTTTGAATTAAATCATGGTTCACATTTTGTTGTATTTTAACATGCAAACCTTGATTTATAAGATCACTACTTTTGGGATGGTTCCAATTTTTTGAAATATGTTATCTTCTTTTTTGTTGTTGATCTCTGTTTCAATAGAGGAGAGTTTGTTTATTACGGTAGCTAAGATATGGGTAATACTGGTTCTGCATATCCTAAGTTTTCTAGTGTATTTTATACTAGCATTAAAACTTTCACTTTGAATAGGATAGCAAACAGTATCAGGTATAGACCAGTATGATTCATCTTGACAGATTGATTCAAGTAATTTAATCAACCATATAGCTATTTTAATTGTATAGCAATTGACAAGCATATTCAATAGACCAGTATCATGGTGTCAGAAGTTTTATGTAAAATCAGTTGATATTGTGAACCCTTTGTAGTTTCTATAGAAATGTAAATTTTACTTTGATTCATAACAAAACTTGTATATCAGTATATGATGCTTTGACATTTGCCTGCCTATTATAGGCCATTTAGATTTGAAGCCATGGTCAAATTCATTATATGTTCAATATTGCCTGAGCTTTGTAGACATTTTGTTGTCTAAAATGGTCTAAATCTTTGTCAGAACTATGTTGGGGCTATCCATTTCAGCTTATCAATTTCAAGTGCAGATTGTTTGTGTTTAGCCGGAACTACTTTCTTTCACTCTCAGTAAAGTGATTCGCATAAAACCAGCCAGTTAAAACCAAAACTATTTCTTGAATTTTAATTCACATTTTGACATTGATAAATGACTTTAAAATAATCCCTGTGTTTGGGTAAATATATTCATAAATGCAAATTAATTCAATTTCCACAAGCCATTAATAAATCATTATAGGTCAAAAGTTTGTGGAAAAGATGCCAAACAGCCATGTGCAGAAAAGTAAAGTTGGAGAAATAGAAAGATATCCTAGCAGATATAGCCTAGGAGGGTACAGGCCAAGTAAAAGTCATGTTTTCTTGAAAAACATGTAAACTGACTCTAAAATAGCTTTGATCTAAGGGCCTTGATGTTGAGAGACACACACCCTATCTGCTTGAGTTGATCCTAGGGGAATATGTATTTTAAACAATTCAAGGACCCATAATTGCTAAGAAAATAGACACTTTAGGAATTTCAGTTTAATAGATATCATTACATAAAAGCTAAAGTGTTTTCTTCTCAATTGTCTTGGTGGTATCTTTTTATCAAAATTACCATTTTTCTATACTTCTATCTTGACAGTATTTCTTTGCCAACAAAATATGTGCTTGTGTGTCTTCATGATTTTTTTTCCTAAGGTTAGTGAGTGTATCGAAATGTTATGGATTTCATAGGATTTAAGATTAGTTGAAATTCTACACATGGGTATTGGATATAATAAACCAGTCATTTTCATGAAATATTCATATAAATCAGACTTCTATTTTCTCTACCCAGATCAGTTTTAAATGATAAACACAGGAGGTACATTCCCAGAAGTCTAAACGTTCACTTTGGTCAGTCGTTATTTCAAATCCCAGTATAAATCTGAATATGATCATAGCAAATCATGGGATTGATTAGCGAACTTGAAGGAAAATGTTATTTTAATGTTATATAGGATTTATAAAATGTCTGTTGGTTTGCTTGGTCTAGATTAAATGTTTAATCTATATGTTTATTTAGCAGTAATGTTATATAAAGTTGCATAAAGGAAATAAATGAATCAATATGCTGCAATTCAATTGTAGAATTCAGTGTAATGGCAAATAGTTTTCTCAGGTGTTTTCACAGTGCATGCAGATTTAACCTTTGATGTACTTAAATTTGGTCATTTATCCTATACCCTTTGCATTCGTTTGACTTCGCTTCTTAAAAGAGAGCTTTGTCTTCACTCTTTCAAACTAAAATAAACCTGTGAACTCACCGCGCCAATCAGTGTTCGTCGGCCAAATTTGACCGACGTTCTATATATGGTCATTTCTTCTGACGTCATCGTTGAGCCCGGAATTGACCAATGACATGCGCATATTTAATTAGAACGCATTTGACGTATGTTTCTTCAAGCTCGCTGATTGGTGGAAGAAAGGGCAGCGCGTAGGTCAAAAGTGATTTATTACCCAAACTGTCACCGGTACCCGTCGTGGGGCGGGGCTACTAAACTGTAATATGGTCTCTACTAGGCAGAGTGTAGTTTAACTAGACTCTGCACACAGGGTATTTATCCTAAGGCCAACATATCAAATCTACATACATGCATGTAGGTACACAATTTACTTTTGGCTCATGTCATGTAATCCCTAGATGTATATATGGTTAATGTTATATACCATCGGAAAGTCATTAGATGAATAACATCATTTTAACTTCAGAAAATATATTGTTAACAGAGTACATGTAAAATGGGAATCTCACCATGATCTTATTTTTACAATGGATAACCTCTAATATAGAAATTGTCATGATATATATTAATCATGAAAGTAAGGGAGATCTTAGGTGTTATGCCATTTCCAAAATTTGTTCTCAATGAAAATAATTAGAAATTCACATTTTAGATATAATGCATGTATAATAAATAAAGAAAGCCCTAAAAATCATACATAGAAGGCAGTGAAAAACAAAGATTATAAATGCGGAAAAACAACCAGAGGATTTTGCTTAAAAAAATGTTAAAATCAACCAACACTTTACATCACCTCAAACTCTTGAAGGGCATTGGAGACTAAGCTTAGAAAGATAATGGCAGGAAAAATGCTAATATGATTGCTGAATCTGTGTAGCAAATTGCAACAAGCCTTCATTCAATATATAGGTCCTAGAGTTTCCTATGTGAGGCATTCAGTGTTATTGAGCCTTTGGAATAATATAAGACATGACTCAATGCAGCAAAGTGTATAATTTTATCATAAATCATGAATTGTTTTATAGTGTTAATACGCACATGGGACAACTTCGAATGCTAGGCTAGTTTTTTATGTCTTTCATTTAGCAGTTTCACTAATAAATTGCTAAAAGAGTGATTTCTGATCCCAATATTATATCATCATCCGAACCTTGATTCTCAATTTTGATTGGATTAAATCAAGGTCATGTGATCATCCCACATCTGAACTTCTTGCTGTTTATTGCCTTACCTTCTGTTTGAAAAAAATGTTGCATTTTCAACGACATTGAAATCTGTTTCTGAAAAAATCTGTTAATTTAAAGTCTGATTTGCACAATTGCTTCTGTTGTTCTATAAAGGCAGCAAAAGCAAGACGTTTTATCGCTGAAACACTTGTGTGTCTACATTGTAAATGTCAAACGTGACCCCCTTCTCAATGAGGTCATATAAAGGAATGTCTCTGGGGTCTTTGATATGGAACAATCTGTCCTCACTTTTATCAAAAAACTTATTTTTAGGATTTTTCATTTTGTGTTCTTTCAGCTTGGGTGGAATAATTTATTTAAAAAAATTTCATTTTGGGTGTTTTTCTTGGGTAGATTAATTTGTTTTAAAATAATTTTGATTTTGTGTGTTTTCAGCTTGGATATACTTCGTTACATCGAGCAGCAGCCCAAGGTCACACTGAGGTCATCCAAGCTCTCTTAGATGAGGCATGTGCGCTAGATCGTCAGGACGAGGTGGTAAAGTGACATATTTTGGCCAGGCTTGGGGCTTTCCATGCACTCCTACCATGCTCTGTGAAGGGTTCCGATTAAGCGAAACTGAAAAATAGTTCAACAGCAATCAATTTCTTATTTGGGAAAAACTATCCCAATATATAATTTTCAAATTATTGTAAAAAGTCATTTTTGGATATATTTGTCTTTTAAAATCAGGACCCTTTTTGAGCTTGAGAATATAATGCTTTATTTAACATAGGGGTGGATGTTAAGTAGATTAGGTTTGACGATTACTTTTTTGAGTCTGTCAGTGAGAGTCAAAGAGTTTGCAATTAACACATCAAGCTCTTAACAAAGTGCTATATTTGGCTCAAGCGTGTCAGCGTAACTTTACCCTTGAGAACTTATCTAAAAAATAAATTCTGATGTATGAGACATCAAAAAAATGTTTAGATAATAGTGTATACCTTATTTCTGACAATTAAAGTTGAACTTGAAAGAGATAATGTTACTTAAACGCTATAAATTCAATCCCTTTCATCGATCTAGTTTCTCACTTTTATCGGCTGTTTAATACACACAAATGCTCGATGATAAAAAATACGCACTTCTCACAAAAGCTGTGTGTTAACCTGCCGTAAGTTTTCTTTGATGTTAGAAATTGCCATTTGGATTTGTTTGCATTCTTCAGATTAATTTCTGATCGATAATATGCAAATAATTTTATCTCTTTTCTTTCACGAAAATTAGTATCTCCATTTATGAGCCGATGCCCAACTGACATATAATACTGCCGTATTCTTTGATGTGTTTCAAATATATTTTATTGATTAATTTGTTTAATGGATAAAGTATTAAATTAAAGGATTCAGACTTTGGGTCAAAGTAACTCATAATATTCACGGATCATTCCGGAAATTACCATATCGTTTGCTTATGTAAATTTCCAATTTTATAAGCCTGAGATATTTATATTTATTCATAATAAATATTTGAAGTAGTTTTGCAATATGATTGTTGTATAATCATAAAATCACCAGCTTATAGTCAGAAAAACAGGAAAGATTGAGAATGATCGAAAAAGCATTTTAAAGTCAGTCACGAAAATTTTACACAGAAAAATAAATTCAAGAGATGTAGACATTTATTCCAAATAATCTGAAGTCGGGTAATAAACATAGAAACTGTTTCAATATCTGTTATGTCAATACTTGAAGTTCTGAAGTAGTTGTAGTGACTGTTGACCTAAGTCTAGTTTATCAGATTATGGTCACTACTAGTGTACAATCTGGCCCTGAGTCTCATATTTGATTTGTTAATCCCATATGTCTTTCTGAAATTTGAAAAGTTTCTGAAGTTTCATCATACAATGAAATAAAATGCAAGTAAAAACACCTGGAAAACAAAGAAAGCCAATATTTAATAAACAACCACATAATCTAAGTATCAACTCATATTTTCCTTTGATGTGTCAATAAGCATAGATGAAGTGCAATCGTTAAATATTTTCAAAATTCATCATTATTGACGAGGATGGGTTTTTAGAGCTGATTTTACCTAAAGTTATGGGTTGTTCTAATCTAAAGAGCCTACTTTTTGAGGTGATTTCTGTTTAAGTGTTTTCACTGAGATATGGCTGTACCTTTGAACAATTTGCCGCCCCAACTTCCTACTCCTTTTTAACGATCATTCTTACACCTAGCAACAAAGATATGAATAAAACCGATAATTTATTGAGTTTATTTCGCAAATGATTACAAGGCCTGTTTTCAAATTGTCAATATTTTGGAAAACAAGATAACTAGTTAACTACTGAAATATATTCAGTGATAATCATAGATATAATACCTGGCATTTTCACAAACCAACTTTTATCCTTGTGTTTGTTTAATAACATGTAAGTGTCAAACTGTTTCATTTTTACATGTTTTAGAGTGGTGTTTATATTTTTATAACAACTACTTGGCTTGTTAATACTAACTCTTGTCATTATAACCAGGCTGATGCTCTAATATCATTTTCATATTGAGAGAAACCTATTTTATTTCAAGAAACATTCAACATTTCTGACAAGACAAAACAATTTATATATGTATTATTAAATTCAAAATGAAGTAAAATTAAGACACTCTTTGTTTGATTCAAAACTAATGGGCTTATCTTTGACTTTAAGTTTCAAGAACACAGCAAGATGGCGCCACTGGATGGGGCTATTTTGAGTTTGGAATGAAATTCAAATTCTGATAACAGTTTTAGTCTATCTGTAGTTCTATTGTCTTTGGCCACTTGAATGAGAATTTATTGCTTTGTAATTGTAACATAATAGATTAGACAATTGAAATGATACAAACTAATACTATATTCCCTTGTTTTATATCATGCCAAGGTCGAAAGTTCATCGTTTGAATGATTATTGTCCCTCAACTCTCCTGGTTCTATCATTGTGCCAAGAATATTGTCAGGTTCAATGTTTGAAATAAAACAGTCAAAAATGCTGAATTTTAAATAGCTATTTAGCAATTGCCAGTTTGAATAAATCCCCTCCTTCCCCATCCCTTTGTTCCATTATTCACATATTTTATCCTGCTTTTGCTTATCCTGCTTTTTACTTCTGCTTAAACTATAATGCCAAACTTTTGTGAAAGTAATTCTCAATAATCAAAGTACTTATAGCTTTAACATTTTTGGTTTCAAGTTAATTTTCTCAATTTTGATTATTTGCTTGTTAGATTCTATAGAATGCAGTTCTGAGAATGTTGAATGTAAAGTGCATATTGATGACATTTCTAATTTATTTTTGCATCTCTATGACGATAAAATCCAATGTTTATATGTATTGTTTATCGTTCCAGCACGGCAACGCATCGCTTCACGAGGCAGCCTGGAACGGCTATAGTCGCAGTTTGGAGGCCATGGTTAAAGCGGGCGCTAATGTTAATGTTACCAACAAAGTACGTAATGCTAGGCTAAACAAGTACATGAACAATATCACCAAACTACTTCTGTGTTAATAAGTGCTTTTCTAAAAGGCCATATGTAATTGCCGAACGTTGAAATCATTACACAAAAGAAGCAATCAATATTTGGCTTATTGGGTTGCAATTGTTTTAAATCACCCGGGTAATTTACAATTGAGGAACATTTTCATGCGGGTGTTAGAAGAAAAGTGCTTCACATGAACAAGGGACTGATCCCCCTAGCACGAAAGAAAGTGGACAGTCTGCACCCTGTTGTGATTTTAATAAAATGATTGCACCCCCTAAGAATCTCATTGCACCCACTCGCAATGAGAAAAATCGTGAAAATAGGCATATTTTGACCGAATTTGGTCTAAATTGTCAAAAAACAAATTTTGCACCCACATGAGAAAAATCCTGGGGAGAACACAGGGACAATGTCAAATATGAATATGCTCTTCTTCCACAGAACTAAGAATCTTTAGGGGAGTGGGGCATAAAAACGCTCAATGAGAGATTATATGAATTCAGTGTTAGGGGTGCTATAAACCTTTGTGAAATTAGTTTTGTGAGATAGACCTCTAATATTTCGAACACTACCCTGATGCTTTGAAAACAAAGGAAATAAACAAGAAACAAGGGGATTAATATAGAATAATAGACCAACCACTCCACAATTTAGAACTGTGATATTAAAAACTGATTAGGATCACATAACAACCACAAAATGTCCTAAATCGAAAAAATTGATAATTAGATTATCATTAACCATTTAAACTATATTGATTTTATTAATTACAGTAGATTAAAATCGAATCAATTTTAGTTAGATATGTAAGTACATGTACCTTTAAAACCAGTAATGGCAGCTGGACACAAAAAATGCAATACATGAACTAATTACCTAATCAATTAAAATGATTAGTTTATTTCATGCGGGTTTACAAGGGACAGATTCCTATTTTGGCGTTTTCATACAGATTGCATGATTTAATAATGATAATGAGTTTGACTGAATATAGCCTCGCTGAAAGTAATTGTGAGATATTGAATGATAAGGAAATTTAAATATCATTGATAAAAACATTTTCAACTGGTTTTTGACATTTACTTGTATCTTTTGGAAAAACTCCTTTAAAGGACACTGTTCAATTTAATGTATGTTTACATGTGTTTCATGAACTTGTATCTTTATCAAAACCATTTTTCTTCAGGCTGGGTTCACAGCACTTCACCTTTCTGGTCAGAATGGCCACAACCAGAGTGCCAGGGTTCTGCTCTACGGAGGGTGCAATAGTGATGCCAAAAATAATGTAAGTACAGACGGCACTTCTTTGTTGTCGGCCATAGTGTGACGGTCTCAAATGTAGACTCATTGGCAATTTGTGATTTAAAACTGATCATTTTTAAAGAATTTGGTCCCAATATTTTTATTAGGCTAATGTCTTATGGGCAAAGAACATCTGTTCAAGAAGGTATTTCCAATATGGCCACTCATTTCAAAATGGCCACCATATTTAGTACATAATGGTCATTCTTCTTAAAGCAAATCCCTTAAACATAATAAACATCCCTTTTTGTCCTAAAGGAGAAACTGTTCACCTTGAAATTCCTCTCCAAGGTTTGCCTTAATCATCCATGTTTTCAACATTTTATTTTGCACAACACTATTTGCCATTGTCAGTTGTTAGTTCAAACAGTTGTGGAGCATTATGGGTAAATGAGGTTTAGTATCATTTGGCAATAATTATAGTTAATTTTTTCAATTATAGAATAATGATTGGGCCCTGTTATTTTCTATAATTATTTTTTATCAAATTTTCATACAAGTAATATTAGAGCCAAAATAAGTTTTATGCTAATTGGTTAACAATAAATGTTTTAATGTATTTCTACGTTCATCACCAAATTGTTACGACAGTCTTTACCAGCCTTGAATATTGGCCAGGTTTCTCTTTTTGGAGATTGTGATTTGGGTTTCATGGTAAGAGGCAGCCCAGGTCAAACAAACAAATATACAAACAAACAATCAGATCTTCATCTTCAATTCCCATCATTTTTTTGTACAAATTGTCTGATGTATAATGATTGATTAGCACTGGTATTTGTTCCTTAAGTTCAATATAAAATGGTTATGCAATATGGCTAGTGGCAGTTGACTCTAGTACATGTATTTAATGACTCCATTATCCCATATTGCCATATATGTGGTATACCATTAATTAGACTGGTATGCCAATCAGCTTTTTTTGTAACTGATAAAATTAACAACTTGTACCAGACCTTCTTCCAAATATATCTCAATTTCATCCAGACCACATTTATAAATTAGATTTTGCAATGTTGATATAAACAACAACTAACATTTGGTAAAGTTGTATGTGGGAATATGTAGTTCTTCTAAAAAACAAAGAGCCAACTCTCAATCATTTAAAATTCTATGTATTCATGACGTTTTTGAGTATCAAACATATTCCTCTTTTCCTTGGTCAGTCCATGATTTGCCATACTCTTAATAATTTTTGCAGTGGCCATGTTTTTGGAGATTAAAACATGTTCAGATAGATTTGATTAAAGGTTTTCAACATATGGAATAGCTTGTAAAGGGGTATACCTCTAATGTGCCTCTATTTTTATACAAACAAAATCTAAAGACTAAAACATTTTCAGAACAGAACCAACCAGTGAGGTCACATATATTCCATGCTATATCTTTTTAAAATTTGAATAAACTATCTAATTTTCTTACATTTCTATGTAATTTAGAGTCTGTGCTTTACGTGGGTATATATAATTCCTTGCTAATTCCACTCTTTTCCTCTCTGTTTGATGGTTAGAAATATGAACAATTTGAATTTTTCCTGAGGGTTGGTGCACTGTATGAAGTTAGCTTCAGTTTCAGATCTAATCAAGCTCTATTACAAGACCATATAACATACTGGGCAGATGGGGTATCAAGTCAAAACATAAACCCAAGATAAATATCATAGCAGTGATGGTTTAAAACCCAAAATACGGCATTTGAGAAATAGATAATCAATGAAAACAACCGACTGGTTTGGAGTTAATACTCCAATTGTATAGAAATGTGTTATTTCTTTCATGTTTGCAGTGAAAGTGCGTGAAATAAACATGAATGAAAGAAAAATGTATGGCGTTTAAAATGGCAAGGGATCCTCCTTACAAAACCTGATCAATCTTATACAAAAGATCTATTTCTTGTCTTTTTCTTCTTGCATTCTTAGAAGAATAGCATGTCTTTTTGATATCAATGGTAAACATTTAGACACTAATAGTCTTTACTTCCTGTTAACGATGCTAGATATCAAGTAGGTTTTCATGTTACACAATCATATTAGAAGTCTCAGAGTAAATTGTTGCATTAGAATAAAAAAACAACAGCACAGATCTTTTTCATTATGTAAGCCAGTATTCAATTAAGATTTGACATATCAAATTATGAAAATGCAAAAATTATTAAATTTAAGATTATGGAAATAATGCAATAAAAAGCGATATTGTTTAATCGGATTTTCAACAAAATTAAGTTCCGGTGTGGAATAAAATTATCCGTATTGAATAACTCTTTATTAATTTGATCTGAGACTTATTACTTTCTGAATTCTGTTTTTGTTTCTTACTTATCAAATGGTTTTGGTATGATTTACCATCATGGGGATATCACTTGAAATCACACACGGGATCCTAAAATATTTAGGCGCCTATGAACTTCTTGCAAAAACATCGAAACCAATATAACTGAGTTTGGAAAAGAGAAATCTTCGCGTCTCTCTTTCTTTAACAGTTTTGGTGTATTTGGTACTTCCAAAAACCAAAAGCTTATGAAAGCTAGATTTATCTATCTACTTATATGTGGATGTGGTAGTGGATGTTATGAAAGAAAACTTCATTATTTCAATGCAAAAGTCTTGTACCATAGATATCCTAACATTAATAGGGAGGATACTTTTGAGAGATTAAAATTCATGGTGGCCATGTTTTGAAATAAGAAATAGAATTTAAAAGAGAGGAATTAGCAAGGAAAAATGTAAACCAGCATGTAGACAACACTCTAAATTATATTGAAATGCTGCAAAATCAGAGACTTCAAAATTTACAGAGAATGTCTAGAATACAAATATGTGTGATGAGGTAGAATATTTAGGCGCAGGCTCTCTCTCAGGACAAGATAACCCAACAAGTTCATGAGGCAATGAAGATCAGAAAATGGGTGTTCATGTCATGTTCAGATATTTGTTAATGTTACGAGCTGCAGGCATAAAATCTTGTGATTTTTGAGGCAGATGTATTTATAGCTTGTGCAAAGTGGAAAATTATGTCAGAGAAAGGTTTTTTTATTGCAGCTATCGCTTTTATCTCCCCCCTATGACAGTGTTATCTTTCCTTGTCTTCAGTTGCTGATAACTGGCTAATGAACTAGAACTAAAGTCTCTTTCCCACTTTGGGGTTTCCTCAATACCACTCTTAGCAAAATAGTTCACATCATTATTGCTTGGTTAAGTTCAAATCATGGATGATATTCTTAGTGAAACACAATGATAAGGGCTTGAAATGGTCCTGCCTATTATCTTTTCAGTACATTAGGTATTATGTAATATTAAGTGCAGCTAAAATGGCAGTTACTGGTTTTAGGCATTTTTTGGTTGACATTTCTTCACTGCTGTGGGCTGTTGTTGATACTGAAACACAAAGCAGATGCTGTTACAATCATCAGCAGACGGATTTTACAGATTTATTACCCATAATGCATTGTTTGAGTTGAGCAGTATATCATGGGCTATAAACGCTGTCAAACATGACAGACTGTGGATAACTGATGGGGCTGTGGGATGATGCTGATACTGTAAAGTTCTTGTATTAGGATATCATCAAGTTATAGTGACCTTTGTAGAATAATTCATATGACATTTTACCTATTATTTTCCACTGTATTAGTTGTGAATGTGACGTACAAAGGGCAACATAAGAGAACTAAACAAATATGATCTTATGGATATGTACATATTTTTCATACCCATAATTTTTACGAATACACTTTTGTACTGTCTTATGGCACTTCCTTTCATTGTCATTAACATGTACTTATCAATTTATTTTCGATATGCAATAATAATGCAACCAACTTATCAGTCACTGAAAAGGTCATTTTTGACTCAAAGCTAAACATGTCGCATGATTCCGATGACAATTATTTTTATCAATTTAAGTGGGAATATCAATCTTTTTGATTGACATAATAGTGATGCTTATATGATTAATAAGACATTGTTATCCTGCATTGTCATATGAAGGTTATCAATGTAGATTGAATGCATTAGCTGTGACAGTTAGTCCACATTTTTCTGTCATTTCATCCAATATTGGGATTAGAAACTATAATTCAGGTTATCATTCATTGTAATTATGCTCAGGATTTAATCCGGGATTAAGACAATTGATCTGTATCAGTATGGTCATAGGTTGATTATGGATTTAGTTTTCATTGATATTGAAATGTTATGTCATTCTTATAACAATGAGTCATCATTTCGTTCCTGTCAAGTTTGACGATGGGTTGCTCTATGAGACCTCCTCTATTTGAGTAGTTCTTCAGAGATAGCTGTTCCTTTGTAAATTTGGCTTCGGGAGACTTCCTCTGGTAGATTGTGAAGCTGTTTACCAATCGTCAGCCATATATCTACTAAGATATATAGTGCTGGGATATCATTTTTATCCAAACAAAGGTGAATATCAGTAATCATAGCAAAATAGTAATGAGAGGGAATTCTTGTTTGATATGGTTTATGGGGATTTACTGTATTTCTAGTGAAAAACTGCCAATTTGAACTGGGGGGGGGGGGGGAGGGGCAGGGACTTTGAGAGGCCAGATAAGATAACATTCCCTGAGGCACATTAGCCCTATATTGCTACCTCCCAGTGTTGATGTAGACTAGCTATGAAAATATTCAAAGGTTCAACATGTAAAAATGTAACTGATATCCTAACATGGTAGCTTTTTATTTCAGTATGCAACATTGTGTACTTATTATATACCAATGATCAGACTGAAAAAATCAAAGTAGTACAGCAAGCGGAATATAGCCTTTGTCCCATCCCTTTCAGGGGTGGATCTGGAACCTAACAAGGGAGGGGGCAAATTTAAAGTCTGAAAAAAATCTTCAAAAAGAAATTGAAAACTTAAGGCCCAATTTCTTGAAAGTTAGGCCTAAATTTAATTTGAAAGGACCAGTAATGCCAAGAAAGGCCTACTAATTTTTGTTATGTTAGAACCACTATAAATCATAATACTCTT